GTATCCTCTTGCCAAACACTGAAGACCTGCATCATGCAATGAAAAAGTGAAAGTTTCTCAGAGTTAAGATAGTAAAATCCAATTAAGTAGGAAGCATCAAGCAACTAAATAACAAAGTGGGTGTTTTGGTCCTCAGTTATCATGGGAAAAAGAATTAAGAATCAGCCTGCCCTCACCCAGGATGAGACCACAAGGCCTTTGTGCATTTTAAGGCTTCCCTCCAAGTTAAAATAACAAACCCCATTACATACTAGCCTCTTCATTAATCATTTCTGACTCCTCACACAAGCATACTGCAAATTCAGCCTTTGCTCTTAATGCCAACTCTGATACCACTTAATTGCTGAGACTGTAATTAAAGTACTGTGTTACAGACCCTGGAACATTAGCAACACATCCCTTCGTCTGCTAAAGGCAGTTGGGAGCTCCCCAGAAGGCTCTCTGTCCCAGAGGACAGCAATGTGCAAAGACTCTATCATAGGAATACAGTATCTTACAGCACAGCATATACTCACCTTCAAGTATTTTACACGGATAGGGAGGTCCTTTTTAAACAAGATGGAGCAGGGGAAGCACTACAGGGTTTGTTCATATGCAAGAACTCCTCACCTCCTAGCCAAACTTGCATGCTTTTAGCATGCATTAACATTCAGAAAAGGAATATGATCTTCTAAAGTTCTCAAAATGACTCTTTCAAGTTTTTCCTTATGTTATGTTGGGAGTTTTTCATCAATCGTTCTCTACTGCGATTGCTCAGAAACACAAAGGGGCACGGTGACAGCTGGGAAACTTCTCAATGTGCTGCCAACATTGGACCCAGCCTTCAAATAAAAATTCTGGGAGATGTGCATGTGCCTCCACCACATCCCAAGGTGGGTGTGGGCATGTCCTACCTTCTCCTTGCTTGACCCATATATATAGGGCAATCTGACCTGTACATCCCTTGGTTCCTTCCAAGCACAGAATGCAGTTTTGCCCAACCTGGCTATGCTAGGGATTACTCATAAGCTGCAAGTCTTTGCTGCAGTGCAGACTAAGCACAAACAAATTCTGCCTTTGTGCCTTCTGGATGAAAAGCAGCGCTAAGGGATCAGTGTCCGGCGGCAGAGAAGGTAAGCAAGACTGATAATCAGGTTTTACTCAGACTTGCCTGAATGAACTGGAGTTGCAGCAAAACATAATGGATGCAACGACAGTAAAGCCTCCTTTTTTTCTTCTGCATGCAATCAGTGGTCTTGGAGTCAAACACTGAAGGTGCAGAAGGCAAATGTGGTCTCGCAAGAGCAGAATAATTATGACATTTGCCTCTTGGGCACTCTTCTAGTCTTTTCATCATTGGGTAAAGCCATCAAATCAGAAGATAAAGCCAGGCTTTAAGGAGCACAGAGACCCAAGTCAGGGTCAGTGCAGCAGCTAGTAAGTGACCAGGGGGTAGATGGACCTGCGCGTTTGGCCTTCACTAAAAGCATGGAGTGAGAGCACCCTGCACACGGCAGGGGCTTCAGGAGCACAGACAGAGAAGGCAACAAGTGGGTTCATCAGACACAAATATCTCCATAACACGAAAGGCGTAACTTGCTTCTCCTAGTTCAGAGGATCAGAGCTGAAAATAAAGAAGAAAAGCCAGAAAGAACAAGTCAATGAAAGAGGCCAGCTGCCCAAAACGAAAAGGCATGAGTCTTGGGTCAAATCCTTAGAGTCAACAAGAAAGCACTGTAGAAAAAAAACTACTCGACATACCAAGAGCTGAGGTGAAATAATAAGGTAGAGGAGAAAACTAAATGGAAAAAGGAGAAAAGATGGCCTGATGAAATATCCTTCAACAGCAGCTCCTCAGGGAAAGCTTAAATGCTCTGCCTGAAGGGAAGGGCAGCAGAGAGAAGGGAAGGACACAGTGTACTGCAGAGCCCTGTCCACCCATGCATCACATAGCACAGACGGGGCAGGACGTGCAGACTCCACAAGTACCAGCTGGTAGAAGTCTCAGGCACCACATGCATTCATTCCCAGCATGAACGTGCAGCTGATTATTATGCCTTATTTTAGATAGCACATCCAAAAAAGGCAAGTATCTTTTAATGACAGTTCTTTCCTTCTCAAGAAGCATATCTTACGCACATCATGTATTTGTATCATGTGTGCTACTGCAAATACAGCTTCACATCAAAATAACCAAACTGGAACAGGGCTAGCACTTTGTATTTTCCCATTATGCCTATGTGGAATAGGCACATTGGACCAAATTCACTCCTAGAATAATGACATTATAATCAACAACAAAGCTTGTTATGACAATTTTGCTTCAGTCAGTCTTGTGAAACAGCACGACCCTTTTTTTTTTCCCAAAGCCCTAGGGATTCCCAGATACTTCTGTATTAATTATTTACTCCCCATAAATTTTAGTTTTCAAACAGCTTTAGCTAAGACAACTATAGAAAACCAAAGAAAGGGTGGGCTGTATGTGGGATGGCTAAAGGTCATGAGAATGATTTATAGGAGGGTTTATGACTTTGTTGCAGGGTTTGATGTGTCATTATTCTTGCAACTACATTTCAAAGGTATTATTCTTCTAAACGCAAACCCCCTTTCCTTCTCTGAAACTCTACAATGTTTCTATCTGAAATTAAGTTAGCACTTAATAAAAGCAAAACACTATAATTTTAGAACAGTATCACTTCAATTTGTTTTATTTTTATACTCACAAGAGAAAGAAAACCTTTAGTTCCTATGTGCCTTTTGTCATGACAAACCACAAAGATAATTACTAGGAAGCTACTCTGGCAAAACCTCCCAAACTAACTGTCACTGGGAAGCCAGACAAACATTCCCAAAATAACAACTAAATAATTGATATTGCTGGAGTCACAGAACACAATACCTTTAACAGAAATAACCACCAGCCAGCACCCTGTAACTATTAGCTCGCTCTGTTTTTTGTGACCAGTATGATTCATGCTTCTAGAACAAGGTAGGAGGTTACTTTGTGTAGTATATTATCCCAAGGCTATGCTATCAGGAGTCTGTGCAGCAACCCATCAAGATGTTTTTAGCCAGAATGGGCTTTAATCACAGGATGATTTTAAGTACCTAGTGCATCATCTCTTGAAGTTCCCTTGTTAGTAGAGATAGGGACGTAAGAACTTACTTTGACCTGTGAACCTTCCAAAGGCAGATTTTTACAGTGTTCCGAGTAACTTCATGCTTTCCCCTGAGTCTTAATTATACTCTCACTTTGAAAGCAATTTTTAAAGAAAATCCGAATCTTTCACCTAACCACAATTTAGATGACAATTCAATTACAGAAATGGCATGCAAGTACCTTTCCACTGGAAGTACAATACTGACACAATCCACATGCCAGCCTGAACCCCCAGAAAAAGCATTTTAGACCATAACAAATAGGGTTTCAGAGAAAGAAGAAATTATCGTATTTATCCATTCTGCCATTTAATCCTCTTAAAGTCCTCCATATTGCATGGATGCAGAAATGAGCAAATTAATGGCTAATGGGACATGGTCACATTGCTGAATGGGTGGTGTGCATCCAGAAATCCTAAAGCCAACACAGTAGCAGCGCAGGGGTTCAAATTTGCGGAGGAGGACAACACAGGACCAACAAACAGGCTCAATAATCCTGCTCTTTCTTACCTCTGCTCTTGAAAACCAGCAGGTGGTAGCTTGCAAATTAAGTAGTAGAACAAAAAAAATAAATAGTTTGGCAAAAGTTACAGCAGTGTTTACAGAAGGAAGAAAGGAAGGGAATGAGCAAAATGTGCTGCCAGAAATACAGAAGTGCACATATTTTAGCATGACACAGGCTTCAGTAGAGACAGAGATATCAGATAGCTTGTAACAAAAAAAAAACCCCAAACCCAACACACACAAGTCCTTTGCACAAGTCGATTAGAAGCCTCACAAGATACCCAGATAAAGTAGGATCTCCCCTCCTCTGCTTTGTGTCTCCACAGGATAGTGCTTATCTCAGAAATGAAGTACTGAAATCATCTTAGGTGAGGAAACTGTGAAAGCAAGCAGGATAAAGGCATCTTTGCAGACACTCAAAGAAACAGCCAAAGCAGTGGCTGTCTCAGCATCAAGTGACTAATCAGAACAAGCTGTCACAAAGGAGCTCTAACCTTTACCGTAGCGGATACTCCCCCCAAAGCACGAACTGGCCCAAAGACAAAAATGTGATATTTCCATGAATTTAAATAGACAGACTATATGCAAATTATATTTTTTATTTTTGAGAGCAGTATTTCAAAGCACTGTTTTAAAGAAGGGCTTCAAGAACATGGTGATGAAGACAAGGAAGACGGCGCTCTCTTGAGACAAAGGGCTACTAAATTCTGTCTCAACATAAAGCTCTCAAAAAGGGATTCCAAAGAAAAATGTCAGTAATAATTTATTTCCAAAGCTCAACAGGAATTCAGACAGAATTCTAATAAAGTGTTCAGCACATGCCTTGCCCCCATGTCTGCAAAAATACAATCTTTCTGTAAAGTAAGGCTGTCAGAAGTGTATCGGTACCTGGGGTTTTAGGTGATTATAAAGAAGAGAACATTCGTCCATTAGAGAACATAATTCCTCTTGCTGTTCAAACTTTGAAAAGCTTTGGGGGCCTTTGAAATATTGTGAGCCATTTTCTAATACAAGAATCCATAGGGGGAAAAAAAAAATCCATACTGTAGGTCAACAAAAGAAAGAAGGGTCATATTTAGTGCCCTGGCCATCTCCTGGTATTAAGCCCAACTTACGAGAGGTCTCAAGAGGTCAGAAACACTCATGTTCCTTCTGCAGAAATCCAAGCACAAATCCACACAGCAGGTTAAGTTTGCATAAGAAAAGCAACTCCTCAGTGTCTTCCACAAATGCTGCTTACAGAACAGTGCTGATTTTACAGGATGCCTGTTATCCTGAAGAATCTGTCACAGCCTAGTGACAGTGGTGCTCTAGGATCTGGCAGCAATGCACCTGCGTGCCCAGGCTAAGCCACCTACCTTGCTCCTCCACCCCCAAGGACCAGCGCAATGGCATTTCCAGTCAGAACACGAGCCAGGCGAGAAAAGTCAGAGTGACGGTCTGGTGGTTTCTGGAATACGCGTTCGTACATCTCTATCTGCAGAGGAGAGGCAGAAGATGGTAATTCTAAAGGCAGGGTAGAGTCTACACTACCAGTCAACAACATACAGTTAAAAATTGGATAGCTATTCTTCAAATGAAAAGAGGGTTAATGAACTATCCAAACAGTTCTAGTGATCATGTGCATCTCTCATACTTTCATAGTAGCTGGGAGAATTTCATCGTAGTACAGTATTTTCTTTGCAGCTATTTCTTTTTCTTGACAAGGATTTGAAGTTACTGGGAAGCATCCCAAGTCCGCCTCTGCTCTACCTTTAGCATGATTTGCACAAGCACGGGGATCCTCCTAATGAGGACTCTACCGCATGTACACACCTATCAATATGACCTTGAGATAGTATTTAGTGTCTTCAGCCAAGCCAAGTATGCATCCATAAGGAAGATACGAGCCCTTTATCCCTGTTTCCTATAGTAAATTGAGGCCAAACAGATTGCTATCTGTGTAACAGTCAGTTGCACATCAGTGTATCTTGTAATAACATTATATCAGATTACCTTTGATACACGGATTACAGGTAAGGTACTACAGCTAAGGGACCAGCTACTAAAGCAGGAATCTCTTACCAGCTTGGGCAGGCTTCTTTTGGAAAAGACTCTGCGTGGACAGTGGAGATGAAGATGAGCAGAACACCAGCTCCGCATGTTGAGCCATTCCACAGTTCGGGAAGGGAGAGGCCCATCTTCCTTATGGAGCAGGATAAGTTGCTTCTGGGCTCGGACTGCGGTATTCTCCAGCATCCTCTCCAGCTACAGCACATTATACACATCAAAGGAATGGGGGCCTCTGTATTTACTGCTCCATTATCAGTTTAACAGAATACTGTATTGTGAAATACTTATCTATACACACACACACGCATATATATACACATCTGACCCCTATTTCTATCTGAATCAGCAGACAGCTGTGCACACTAAGAACCCTCAAACAAGACTGATTTAGATAGCTATGCTGTTAGCTGTGGGCTTACATGGCATATAGAACTTTAAAATCAGACAAGGATTCAAACCCGACTACTTAAAAATGAATGCTTTTTACCTAAAACATAGACCATTAAATGCACAGCACAGAGACATGCTGTCCATGAAAAATGAGATTGCTTCCTAAGTCATACTTAACTCTGCAAATATTCAGCATTTTTGTTCTTTCACGTCCAATCAGACCACTTTTTCCTCCTTGCATTCCTTATTTTTATTTTTTTGTTGTTTTAGGCAACTGATGGAGACTTGCCTTTACTGTGCTTCCTGCCTCCCACATACAGTCATGAAGAACCAACACAAAGTGACACACAAGAACACTGCAGATGGTAACAGTCCCAGGTTCTTTGGAGGTCAGACTTAGCACTTCACAATCCTAAAAAAACCCACTTGTGACCTTATTTTTAAATTTCTTGCAGAATTTATATGCCTGGTCAACAAACTTTGGTAATAAAATATCAAAAATAAAAATAGATAATAAAGGAGAAAAAAACCCTAGCTTACAATCTGTAATAGAATACATTAAATTATTCATGCAATACAATTTATATCTAGTATTTCCTAGGCACACATAATGAATTCCATTCAGGCAGAAAAGATTTTTATCTCTCTATTTGGAGATCCTGCAAAGAAATTCTGGACAGAAACGCAATAGCCGTATTACTTCAAAGCAATTTGGCTTTTGATTTACCATTGGCCAATATGACTCTTTGGAGGAGAACCACCTAGCTGGAAATACTTTTATATACAACTTGCCACTTCAGAGGATCCTCATTCAATCCTTTTTCTATTTATAACACACATCTCAGGAATATTTCATTATTTATGCTTCAGTGGGTATTAAACCCAGCAAAACTCACGTGTATGAAACAACCTTCTTTAGAAGGTCTGGACTGTTAACACTGCAGATATGGGAATGAGCTATTTCCACACCTCTCCAACAGTAGGTTCCTGGTCTCCCAGTCCAACAATTAAGATGCAGTCAGCCTGCCGGATGCAGCGTTGAGTCCAGGGAGTAAGGGTGCTGTCTGCCTGGTAGAGTACAATACGGTGAATATCCTCCTGCTGTCCCAGCCAGCTAGTTAGTCGGTATTCATGGATACTGGGGACAAAAAAGAAAAAAACCAAATTCAAAAAGTTTTATGTCACAGCTCCTAACAGGGTAGAGAGATATCTTACATGTCAAGCACAAAATCTGAAGGGCATTAGAGACCTGCATCTCTCTCTCATCCAGCCTAAGAACCTTATCTGCCCACACTTCCAGACTCATGCTTTATTTATTTCTCCATTATTTACACCATTAGATATATACACAGAGGAAAGAGGATGCAGTGATGCCTAACTTCAATAAGACTTCCATGGCATCCCTAAGAATGAGTACACAATACCCACTTGGACCAATTCAGCTCTTCCAATTGCACAAGTGAGAAAGTAACTGTGGAGAAAACCCACCCACATTTGAACCAAATACTCTTGAAACATCGTCTCAAACACCTTGATCAGAAAGCACAATATATGTTAGAACACAGGATTTTGTTCCCAAACACTGTATATTTGTAAGACCAGCACAGTATCTTTCTGCATTTTTTTGTAAATAATAATGAGGGCAGGTACCTATCCAGTGCAGCAGAACCAAGTCGCTGTTTGATGTTATCACTGGTGAGCAGCAAAGCAGGACCTGGAAGAACAATAAGTTTCATATGTGAACACTTGCCATTCAGCTCCTCACAAACTGTATTGAGAAGCTGTAGCTATAACAAATGCAGTTCCATTAATTTGCTATGAAGAACATGATGGATCAGTGCATTGATCAGAGCTGTTGTAGAAGAAAGAGCTGGCACAAAGTCTTCACAAAAATTTTCATGCTTATCTACAATAACATCTTCCCATTCTCCGTATTCCCAGAGCTCTGTTACTGCATTAATCATAGAATCATAGAATCATCTAGGTTGGAAAAGACCTTTAAGATCATCCAGTCCAACCATTAACCTACACTACCAAGCCCACTCTAGACTAATCAAGGGTAGACCAGACTAAACCATATCCCGAAGTGCCACATCTACCCGTTTTTTAAACGCCTCCAGGGATGGTGACTCCACCACCTCTCTGGGCAGCCTGTTCCAATGCCTGACCACCCTTTCCGTAAAGAAATTTTTCCTAATTTCCAGTCTAAACCTCCCCTGGCGCAGCTTAAGCCCATTTCCTCTTGTCCTATCGCTAGCTACTTGGGAGAAGAGACCAACACCCACCTCACTACAACCTCCTTTCAGGTAGTTGTAGAGAGCGATAAGGTCTCCCCTCAGCCTCCTCTTTTCCAGGCTAAACAACCCCAGTTCCCTCAGCCGCTCCTCATAAGACTTGTTCTCCAGACCCTTCACCAGCTTCGTTGCCCGCCTCTGAACACGCTCCAGCACCTCAATGTCTTTCTTGTAGTGAGGGGCCCAAAACTGGACACAGTATTCTGGGTGCGGCCTCACCAGCGCCGAGTACAAGCTCTCTTATCGCATTCCTCAGTGTCATGTAGGATTACAGTTTCTACTGCAGCTGCATTTTCACAAACACAACATTCAGAATACCTTTTGCAACCCCAGAAAGCCCAGGAATCTGGTTTCAAAGAAAAAAGCTATTTCACTGACCTATCGAAATACGCAATTTGTTCATCCTGCACTGAACCAACTCCCCAGATGAATCCTAAAGCTCTCTATAGTAGCATTACTTCTTATTCAACATGCCAACAGGAAGCTATACCACTATGAACCCCAAGGACAAACAGATTCCCAAATCTGTAGCACGCAGTCTGATTCACACTACTTCCGCTATAGAGATAGGCATACACACACATCTGGCAACAACATTATATCTGAGATGAATTTTGGTGCACATAAAGTTTCTCGCAGGCACTTTATTTTTCTTATTAGCAATTCTATTTCATCAGCAGCAATACATGCCATATGTGGTGGAGGTTGCAGAATAACTGCAGCTAAAAGACAAAAAAGCAAAGAAAAGAAAACTTAAGGGATTAACCTCATACCTAAATAAAAGATTATCTGTCTCATATTGAGAGAGAAATGCACATTTACAGAACATGAAAGAGCAGTCACTTTGTATTAATGTTTTCACAATGTAACCCTTCATTTTTTTCATTAATAAAAGAACCGAAATTTATGTACGAAATAACAAAACAATTATGTGAGGTCTCTCAATGCATTAATAAAGCAGCATGGCTTAATGTGTTTAGTAAAAATCAAGGAACCATGAATGAACAACAGGGTAAAAGGTCACAATTTCACACTTATATGCTCAAAAAGCAAAATCCACAAGTACAGTATCTGGAGCTGTCCATCCTGACCTTCAGAGCCAACTCATTTCCCCCACAATGCTTGATGCCTCCTGCAAAGACTTCACTCTGTTTTAACATACTTTAGTGTTAGACTTGAAAAAACCTCAGAAGTATGATTTTTCATCTTGTACTTTCAAACTACCAAATAACATTTGCTCTTACACTAACGATGAAGGAAAAGCAAACAAAAATGGACAAGAATAGCCTGTAGTGGAGACCAAAAACCAAAAAGTAAAAGCACAGAAAGGAGGATGCCTTGAGAGTAGAATTCAATTTCCTCATCCTCCAATAAAGTTCATGTCAGTTGGTTCCTATGAAAGCAACAAGTCCAAAATAGAGGGAATTAGTTCATAAGCATTTCAATACCTGAACTGGTTTAACCTGCCTTTCATTCCTGCACCTGTGCTGCTCAAACCATCTGTCTGCAGGGAACAGACCCAATGCTTGTGAGGGTTTTTACCACTTAATTTTTAACATTGGTAGATTCTTTGATCCGGTTCACCATTCAGCCTCACAAACAGTTGGGCTAGCACAAATTTGGATTTGGTAATGGGATCAAGAGAGGTCTCCCAGAAGAAATACTCATAACATTGCATGCTATGAAGACAGCAAGGGAGAGAGGGCAGGTAAATTTTGAAAAAGCATTCAACAGCAAAGTTATCATTTGTGTTCATTAATGTGTCAAAGTTCTCAGCAAAATAGAAATGATATGTAGACTCAAATATTCTTCCAGGATGTGTGACTTACAAAGCTTTATGACAGCGGTGCAAGTTTAGTAGGCAAAGACAAACAGCCAGGAATGTAAAATGAGCTAAGGAATACAATAAAAATGTCAAGTAAGAGAGACTAACGATGAGGAGAGAACAGCATGCTCCACCTCTGCATTTGCCTGTTACCTCCCTGCACCCAGTCACTGAGATCCAAGAACATCAGCAAAGGAGCTTGGAGTGCACCATACTGATCTGATGCACTGGGGGCACATGCCCCAAGGGGAAACCATTAAACCCAGCAACCCAGCCAGAACACCTTTCATACAAGGCAAGAGGCAGACTTTGTAGAGCTGGAGTGCAGCTTTATGTTAGTCAAGGTGATGACTGCTTCACCCACAGGTATCTTGAATGAGGACAATACATCCCCATCAAGCATCAAAAAAGCCTTGGAGAGGCATATGACTTCAGAAATCATCCACTTCAGTCCACTCATCTCACTTTTGTATTTGGAAAAGACACAGGTCACAGTATATGACGCAAACACGTGTGTACAGAGACACAGCTGTGCTGGCTCAGGAGGAGTCTGCCCAGCATCCTCTCTGCACACCAGCAGTGCAGGATGAAGATACCCAGACCCTTATTCATCCCCAGCAACAGAACATGGTGATGCTTCCAACTGAACCGACTCTGTTTTGCTTCAGAAATAACAACCATCTGTTCTACACTTCCAATTTCTAGCAAGCTCCCAATTAATCAACCATTAAATAACCCTTTATTAATGTGATCAAGAACACCAACATATGTGTTCTCAAGTGCATAAAACAGAATGACCAAAAATGTTATTTAAACTAAACTGCTGAGAGCAACAAAGTAATAAAAATCATTGAGTACATACCCCCTCAAAATACAAACATTCCAGCAGGCAGGAATGTCCAAGATGATGTTACTGCATCCTCAACATGCATTATCATAGTTACATACCATCATCTAATGTCTAATGATGCTCTCTCACACCTGACATCAGCCTCACAGGCAACTTACAGCTGCAACTGGCATCATGAAAACATCCCTCCATCCTGCAGCAGCTGCCTGCACCCTTCAGGGACTGTTCTCTTCCAGTAGGATTAGACACAGGGTGAATAGCTCAAAGTTAAGAACATAGGAGAGGTGATACAAGGTAACATTAAATATTTATCTAAGCCCAATAGTGTGTCTCTGGCTGTGACCAGCAGCAGATTGCTGGGGAAGAGTATTAAAGCAAGAAAAACTTAATGACATTCTCTGAGCCTCCAGCAATTCGCAGTTCATGAATTTCTCAAGCCAGAGGTGGCAACTTTCAGTAGGCCCTGGGGAATTTTTCTTTCTGTGAACTCACTGGGATTCTAAATCTCAACTTTTATGTGCTTTAGGTGAGAAAACATGACATGGCAGCAGTCTTACCCCCAGGCACAGAGGATCATGATTCATGGAGAAACCTCATGGAGCATCCAAACAGTCATCTGTTTTTCAGTACAGAACTACAAGCCCATGAAAGAGAAGTGAGAAGGGGAAAAAAAAACCAACAAAAAAAAATGCTGGCAAATATCAGAGTCTAGTTCATTTTATCTTTTAAGTATATAAGGCACTCAAGAAAAGGTTGAGACAGCCCTTCAGCAAGGCCTTCAAGCTGAAATCCTGCCCCAGTAAAGAGACATAAGTATCACACAAGAGACGTAACTCTTCCTTTTTTTCCAAAGATGAGCATGGTACTCACTTTTATGATTTTTTTTTTTCCACGTAACACCAATTCCATAAGATGTGAAGGAGCAGGAATACAGATATCCTAGTTTTAAGTCTAATAAAACACGGTCAAAAAGTTGTCCACAGAAATCAGAGGCCCAGAAGTCAAGGACTGATCTCTGATAGCTAGAAATGGTTGCAGATCTATATCACCTGGAAAAAATACACATAAAGATACTGCCCAGTATAAAATGCACTGTGGAAAAAATTTTAGCACAGCAAACTTACTTGCCTGGAGGACCCTGGGAACTACTGACCTGTCAGCCTCACCTCTGTGCCTGGGAAGATCATGGAGCAGATCCTCCTAGAAGCTATGCTCAAGCACATGGAAGACAGGGAGGCAATTCGAGACAGCCAGCATGGATTCACCAAGGGCAAGTCCTGCCTGACCAACCTAGTGGCTTTCTATGAAGGAGTGACTGCATCAGTGGACAAGGGAAAAGCAACAGATGTCATCTATCTGGACTTCTGTAAAGCTTTCGACACAGTCCCCCACAACAGCCTTCTCCCTAAATTGGGGAGATATGGATTTGATGGGTGGACTGCTTGGTGGATAAGGAATTGGTTGGATGGTCGCATCCAGAGGGTAGTGGTCAATGGCTCGATGTCCACATGGAGACCGGTGACAAGTGGAGTCCCTCAGGGGTCCATACTGGGACCAGCGCTGTTCAATATCTTCCTCAATGACATAGACAGTGGGATTGAGTGCAC